TGCTGGTTGCTGGTTGCTGGTTGCTGGTTGCTGGTTGCTGGTTGCTGCTGCTGCTGCTGCCGCCGCTGCTGCTGCCGCTGTTGCTGCTGCTTGCTGCTGCTGCTGGTTGCTGCTGCTGCTGGTTGCTGCTGCTGTTGCTTGCTGCTGCTGGTTGCTGCTGCTGCTGCTGGTTGCTGCTGCTGCTGGTTGCTGCTGGTTGCTGCTGCTACTGGTTGCTGCTGGTTGCTGCTGCTGCTGCTGCTGCTGCTGGTTGCTGGTTGCTGGTTGCTGCTGCTGCTGCTTGCTGCTTGCTGGTTGCTGGTTGCTGGTTGCTGCTGCTGCTGGTTGCTGCTGCTGCTGGTTGCTGCTCCTGCTGGTTGCTGCTGGTGCTCCTGCTGGTTGCTGCTCCTGCTGGTTGCTGCTGCTGTTTGGCTGTTGCTACTTCTTGCTGGTTGCTGCTGTTGCTTGAATCCTGAAGGCTGCTGCTGCTTTGCTGTCCGCCCCTCTTTCAATTTCGTCTGCGCAACCCCCAAAAACTGAACGAAAACCACGGGTTGTGGAGGCCAAACTTGTGTGAGCTTTGGCGTTTTGCTGCTGCTGTTGCTGCTGTTGCTGCTGCCACTGGTGCCACTGCTGCTGCTTTCTGCTTTGCTGTGTTGTGCTACTGCTGCTGCTGCATTGCTGGTTTGCTGCTGCTGCTGGCTGCTTGCGTCTGCTCAGATCGCTACCAAATTCTCCGCGGCGCAGGGTGGAGTCGAATGGGGGGGGGGGCCCGACATTTAAAACCAACTCTTAAACCATCGAAATCATGCACCGGACCACTTCACCACCCCCAATACATTTTTGCTAAAGCAAAGACAACTCAGGTAGCGTAACCGCTGCCTTTCGTGAAAAGGAAAGCACAGAAAGCTCCTGTGCCGGGTCCTCCGAAAGGCTTCGACCACCCGAAGCACCGCAAGACTTCGACGACCCGACGCCATACTCTACTCAGGAGATCTCAGGAGAAGTTGAAGTGCTTCTTGATGGGCTTGGTGACGTCCCACACCTCAGTCTCTGGCCAATTCGCTGCACAGCCCGTGAGACGAAGCAACATGACACGCAGGAGAAGATCAGAATCTATGCAACACATATAGTGTTCATACCTATGGCGGTTCCTGGCCTTGAGAGGCAGGGCTTGGTATCTAACTGGGGTTCACCTCTAGGGCAACCGGCCCAAGCAAATGCGGAACTCTAGACTTTATATTAGACCTTTCTTCCTTGTCTTTTTTGGTTTCTAACAGCAATGGCCTCCAACCTAAAAGCCATGGCCTCCAATATCAATGGTACCTACAGTAGCACCATTCCATCATGAACAATCAGGGATCGTGCAGGACATCCGTGGGAAGCTGCTTTTAAGTGACACGATGTGACACTCCAATCCGAGAAGTCCGGAAGCATCTGACAAGTCCGGAGAACACGGACTACGCACACCTGCTGACAAACCAGTTCTGAACCACGTTCTCATGTTATTTATGGTGGGCGGGGCTGTATATTTGGCATGGGGGGGAGATGGACCAAAATTAACCCGTATATGTTACCTTCTTTCTTGAACACTCAAGGAATCATATGCCCCCCCAGGAGCACTCCGAGGAAGCATACCTTTTAGCAAGGACATGTATTCAAGGCGGCGGGGGGGACATCGCAGAATTGTGTTGTCGGCAAAGCTTCTGGTGAGAATTTGGTATGGCTCGGGGGGGTCTGCAATGCCGCAGGCCCATCCGAACTCTAGCAGCCCTGTTGTAAATTGATCGCAAATTATCTGAAGCCATTGGGTTGAGCAATTGTTAGGAAATCATGGGGAACGTGTGAGGCAAATCGTGGCCAATAATGTATGAATGCAAGGGAGGGCAACCGCTCTCTCGAAGAATACGTTTGTCAAGGAAATGTATGAAAGGGGGCGGGGGACATCCATGGTCATTGTATAGTCAGTATCATCAACCAGCAAACAAACATGATATATACATATATATATATATATTAGGCATGTGCACAATAATCATGTTCCGAAGCTCAAATCTGGACATGGCGGACGTACTTTTCCTCCATTTATACATGGTTGATGACTGGTTGATGACCCAGGAATGTGATCTCTGTTGATGGAGAGGGCTCTTATTTGTGTGGATGTTGCATCCGAATGTGTCGGAACCCGAGCAAGGCTGCCGAAACGCCTGGCTGCAAGGCTCTTGGTGGAACCGAGGAACCCTTCGGCACCCATTCCCATGGAATGACCCGGAATATCTATTATATTTATATAAACAAACATGTTATATAACATCTATCAACCATGTCTTAGGGTAAGTGACTATTCTCTATCCCATCAAATCCCGCAAGTTCGCCACTTCCCTGCGATATTTCCACGGCACACAGGTCATTCCGTCCGGGAACACCACCAAGTCGCCCGCTTCAATCTGACACGTCATTCAGGCCCGCTTGCTACGCGCAACGCGCCACGCGCAACGCGGCGATCTGGTCGGTTCTTGACACGAAAATACGAGTCTTTCGGGGACTCAAGGGGCAGCATACAAACGCATGCACCTCAGGCCTGGCTCATAGGCTTGTTGAAAGATTATCTTCAAGCAGAACATCCCCTTGAGTAAAAGACTGAGAGAAGTCACTATAATCAAGAAGCACATGTTGTCCAGCCCACAAACAACACTGCTATTACTGTATTAGATCTATGCAGTGTTGCCTCACCTTGCGAGCTACTGAGCTGTCTGAATGTATTTTAAACACCTGCACTCCCAGCACGTATGTAGATGATGTCTTAATACCGTCTGTTGTCCGAATTCTCCCCTGAAGCCTCGAATGTGCTAATGGTTATATGGTTCAAACCTCTCTGAACCACCTCCCCAAAGACCACCTTCACAATGTGAACAATGTGAGCCCCAATGCGCCCCAAATGCCACACGGAATTCAGCTGCCACAGGAGCTCCCGACAATCCAAAATGGTCGATTCAGTGGCTCGAGTGAATTATATTTATATACCTACATCTTCCTTCGTCGCAATAGTCATTGCCCCTACATGTGGACCACCTTGTAACTTGAACTTGTAACTTGACTACCTTGTAACTTGAATGGCTGCAGGCCCCTCCTAAAGACCATGGACCAATAAGATCCCCACCTTGTCACCCACGAGTTTCATAGACATTCATAGATAGGCCTCGTGACCCCTTCCACCTCATTTGGGGGTTGTTCAAAATACCTTTTCCCGAAAACATCCGAAAACTATCCTTGCGCCGGCCTTGGGCGAATCTTGCGCGGATCTTGCGCGAACACAGTAAAACTACATGTTCTATTCAAATAAGTTTTTTTTTAAACCTGTTTTCGTGGGTGTATGTGTATGTAAACTGCTGTCACAGGCGGAGAGTTTACAAACCACAAGGCAGGGGGCTAGCGACCCATTTCTCGACCTTCCCAGTGTGTGTGTGTTTGCTGCACTGCAGCTTCCCTGTTTTTCAAACACTATGCCGAACAGCTGGCTCAAAGAAGTCGACATGGCCAGTCCAGTTCTACATACATTCGGGCTTGCGCGAACCTTGCGCGGATTTCGATCCTGTTTTGGCCACATTTCGAAGCATATGGCTAAAACATTATGAAGCATACTTGAAGCCTGAAAGCGTCAAGACCGGACGCGACTCTCGGTTTCACTGGACGCGACTCTCGACGGTTCGCCTCTCGCCGGCGACTCGCCTTGGTGGCTTTGCAGCTGCTCCAGTCCCCCGTGGGAGTCACCGTGACCTCTCCTCGAGACGAGCGGGGACGAAGGGGAGTCGGAGACCGAAACAACGGATGAGAAGAAGCAGTTCACCGGCCTTCCAACACATAAGCGGTCTCCGTGCCGGAGTATTGCCAATCAAACTTGGACACCTGCACAGGTCGAGGTTCAGTTGCTGAAGGATCTGTTTTCGCTGCTTAGGAGTGCCTTCTGAGGGTAGAGGTTCAAGGTCCTAATAGATCCTCCACCGAAAGTTCTGGCTGGGTAGTTCTGGCATTTCGAACCCCAAACTGGGCAATGTTAGAACCACCAGTTCGGACTAATTATAGTCACTACTCAGTGAGAATGTCTCTCCCCATTGGCAAATGTCCATCCATTTTACAATCCTTTGCAAGTACCTAGCGAACCGAACGGACCTTTCTTTTTTGTGAGTCCGAAATTCAGAACCTGGTTCTCAGGATTTCAGAAAAACAGGTCCACGCATTGTTGTCCTTTTGCAAACCTAGGTTCTCGTTTAGGGAAGCCTTCTTTTGAGCCGGGTCGGTGCGCCCCAAGCCTCCCCACATCGATCCTCCCACCGGGACGTCCGCGCAGCTGGCCTCACAACCCCAGGTGCCCCATGAGGAGACTTGGTACTTTGCCTGCGCTTCATCCTCATCGCTGGCGTAGGCCAGGACTCCCCTTGGCCCATCCAGTGAAGAGCTTGGGCGGAGCGATGTGGGGATCAGGATCGCTTGTATTGGATCATCTTGAGGGAGAAAAAGCAGCTGTGTTCTACTCTGGGCTTGTCTGACAGTGTTGGTAAGTTGCTTCCTCCAATGTTCATTCATTTCATTTACTGTCCAACATTCCAATGACAGGACCCCAAAGAAGCTGCCTGGGGATCCAAGTACCTTCCCAGAAGGTACTTGGACCCTCCAAACCTACAGAACAGTGTCTCCCGCTCTCCGTACCTGAGAATGTGCGACTGGATCCCTATAGGGGCTGGTCTGACTGTGCAGCTGAAAGAGGGAGGTCAGGTCATTGAGTCGGTCAGGTCATTGTGTCTGGTTCCTTCTTTTTTTCAACTTGGTACCCAGCTGGACACAGCCACACAGCCGACACACTTCACTTCCAGTCCTTGGACATTTTGGTCACCGTGATCTCCTTGGTCCGCGGCCCCCGGGCACCGCGAGCCCGCCATCCAACCGTCGACCCGGCCAGCCAGTGGCCGGGGGAACGCTCGACGAAACTGGAAGAATGTGGAGGGGTGTCATGGAGTGGTGAACGCTTCTTCTCCTCAGTTCGGAAAAGCACCTGCACACCTGCACACACCTGCACACGAATGATTCAGGTCGACGACCTTGACGTCTGGGGTACCGGCGTAGCTTCGGGGTCGTTTCGCTCACTTGGGTTCAAGCATCAGGCTTGCTGGGAGAATCATACCTTGACGATTCTTGACGGTATCTGGCCTCTCCGGGCAACAGTGGATGATGACAGTTCCCAAACGCAATGGAACATGAGGCCGGAAAATGAGTCTACTGTTTCTACAAAGCCCCAGAACACATCCGCGATAAAAAAAAAAATAGAACGGAATCCTTTGGTTGGGGGTCAAGGCACACTAACATGATGTGTTGTATCTGCCATGTCTCTGGCTTGCTCATCTTCCCCGCGCGAAGGTGTCGCCCTGTCTTCCCAGGTCTGTGAGCCCCAATGGCTTGCACCAATCACACACGGGCAAGCCAAACGCAGCTAGAAGTGACTCGAATGCATGAAACTTTGGGCATGGTTTCGCAACAAAAGGGCGCTGCTCACTGCTCACGTGCTTCTTTTTCCCTAGTGATTCGTTCGTGTTTCGCCACAAAAGTAAGGCCACAACCTGTTTCAGGGTGTCACCAGATCTTGGAGGTTCCAACACTTGGTCACTTGGTATGTCGAGGTCACCCTCAAACCGGTGCCGCATCGAAAACAGGTCCAAGCAGTGAAGCCACAGAAAAGGTCCTCATTCGAATTGGAGTAATCCTGCCCCTATACAAAACCCCAAGAATGGCTCTGTTCATGTCTATTCGCTCCACTAATCAGCTCCAAACACCTATAGTATCACCTAGGACCTAGCCACTTGGCATGGGATGACTCGGACCCAGGAATGACCACCAACTCATCGCCCACAGCCCACACTGCCCACACGTCGCCTCACCTGACCAGTTCTGTGAACTGGAACATCACCCGGCAGCCAGTCCTGCCTCCCTAAAAAGTGGTCAAACAGTGGCCATCGAAACACAACAAAAAGTGTATTGGACATCGTTTCCCATGGCTCAGATTTGTGTTCTCACACCCAAGCCAGCGTAGTCTCCGCAACAACGTGATCCGCTGTCCCAATCTCAAAGGTCCTCCTTCGCACAGGTCCAACGGCAAGTTCCAGCCCCGACCCAGCTTCTTCCGCCGGCCGTGAGGCACAACCCCTCGGTAGTCTGCTCTGTACAAAAGGACCTCTGGCGCCTGTGCTTGCTTGCCCCATCCTTGCAGGTGTTGCTCTCCAATTTGACGCAGTCGCAGCAAGCCGCGTTGCCGGCGCTTGCGACATCCACCAACTCCCAACACAGCAAGGATAAAAAGAGCCCCAAGAAGTGACTTTTCAATCCTCCCATGGCGCCGCCCTTCTACGCCTTCGGCTTGAGCAAAAGAACGCTGACATATCGCTGAATCTTCCCAACGGCTGATCAACAAAGGGGGCTTTGCAATATATGGTGACTGCGTTAGTCGAGATTGTTGCAGGGTGACTCATTCTTACCATATAGTCAAATTCTAAGCTTATCGTGTAGGTGATCATTGATTATTGACAACATTTCAATGAAGAGTAGCATAAGCGTAGCAGTAGAATCATATATAACATCTTGTCAGTCGCAACCCACCAACCCAAAAAACCGCCAAAGCAGTTGCTTTCGCCTCCTTCATCCATGGGGCGCCCCCTGAATCACCCGCCTCCTTCATCCGGATCAAACCACGCATCGACCCATGGCGAGACCGCGCCGACTTGCCGCAGTATTAAGGTGTAGAAACAAGACGGGCCACCTTTACACAGGGCTGGGGAAAAATGTGCTTGTAATGGAGAAGTTGTAAGTTTGCTTGTCAGAATGGACTGAGGAGGGCGGAGGGCACCGGGCACTATGACTATATATTAGTATATTATATAACTGTACTGTCTCATTCCATCTCGAGCATGTGTCACTTAAAGGGCATGGCGAAAGGACTGACTTGTCTTTGTTTGCGTGGCCGCTATAGAAGGAAGAAACTATGTGACGCCTCCGTCTTCTTCCGGTCAGTCTAGAGCGAATAGAGCTATTTCCACCTGGACCTATGTACTTGTCAGCTGCTGTCAGCTACCAGTAGTGCGTTGATGTCTTGCAGGCTCCTGTTTTATGACGTGTTTAGTAGTGCACTTATTTTTTCAATACATTTTAAAACATCTCTAGAGCCCCAGTACCCATCTGTACCCAAATCCAATGTTGCCAACTCCTCTGCGCCACCTTCCAGCTCCGAGTTGCGGCCGATCGGCGGTGTGTTCTAAGCGATGTCGAAGACCCGGTCCGGAGACAGAGGCAGTTCCCTCTGTTTTTTCCACAAAGACCGCAGCAGTCCAGTATTTGAGAGGTAGTGATTCATAGTTGATAGAATTATATTTGCTGTTTTGTATGTTTTCTTTTTTTAAGGGTGTGTCAGGTGTGTCCATTCCCACACCGTGGTGTCTTGGCACCATGATAGCTTACCTTGTACCGTGATAGCACCGTGGCATGTTCGTTCATCTTTGGAAGCTCGGAATTCGCCTCCCTGGGCAAAGGCGTGCCCGACTTTCCCTTCTCCCTCTATGGCATCGATGGATTTGGTGGCCATCCGTGGACAAAAAGGCACCCGTGTCTGCGTGTGTCTGCCCACAATGATGTGGGCTAGCACTAGGATGGAATGCTCCTGACAGAATGGCAATTGGCAGGCATGCAATGGAAGCGTCAACCCCCAGCATAAACCAAATTCCAACCAAATTCCTCAGAACAGGTTCCTTGGGCTACTGTGGATGCAAGCCAAACCTCATCTAAGGTAGCGCTGGCTTGCTGCACTTCACAAGGTGCCTGTCTCTTCTGCAATGATTCTGCGTATGGCCTATATGATTTGTCTGGAGGGAAACTATGCTCATCATTGCATTTCCATCTATTCCAGTATTCCGAATTCCTAGATATTCATAGATATTCTAGAGGGGGGCCTTGGACGGTGACCGGTCCATTCTCCTCGACAAAGCCTCCTTCCTGGTCCCCGGCCACCTCCGTCCTCCTCGACATGCCATTGAGCCACGGTGAGAAGCTCGATGGCCTCGAGCTTAGGAATCCACGCAACTGCTTATCAAGAGCAACAAAAAGAAGAACGAGAAACTGGGTCTTCCAACAAAAGGTCTTCTCATCCTCAGTTGAACTTCGCTGCCCATCCATGCGCACCACTTATGATCACAAGGGCAAAAAAAGGGCTGCTCGCATTCTTCTCAGTCTCATGATCTCATGATCTCCTCTGCTTCTATCTATAGTTCCTTCTCGTTCTAGTCATGAGTCATTCCTTTTTCTCTCTCTCTCTCTCTCTCCTCCCGTACCGCGTACACTCCTATTCTTCCGCCCGGTCTGCCTCTTGGCGCTTCATCCCGAGCTCCTGCCAAAGGGCAATGGCATCCTCCGCCGCCTGGGATCGATCCGTCTCATCACGCAGCGTGAGCTGAGCGAGAGCATGCGTGAGCTAAAGCTGAGGAAGGTGAGGTCAGGGGGTCCATGTTTGAGGAACTTGCCTTCTTTGAGGATAGTGGTCCCCAAATAGATAGAGACGGCTTCCGATCCCTTGGGCTTAAGGGATTTCGATCTATTGGGCCATAAAATGCACTCGAGAGTTGAGGAAAGCAAAGCCATTTGTTTTGCAACACCATGCATTGTCCAAACGGTAAAACATGGTAAAACACATGGCATAGGTTGCCAAAGTAGTCTATGAAAACAACCTTGTTGTTGGATGTTGTTGGTGCCCTTAAGTCGTGTGAAACAATTACATGTAAACGTGTTGTACTGTGGATTGGGCGTGTTGTTTGGAACAGGGCAACTGAAATTCATGGCCAGTTCTTTGGGAAAGGCGGTTTTCTTGCCGTGCTTTGGATTCCAGGAAGCTGTTCCAATGTGTTTTCAACATGTTGGTTTTGTCGTTGGATCCGACATCACCACCCACATCCACATCCGACATCACCACACACCGCACACCGCGCCTGGGCTCCACCCTCCATTTGTCGATTCCCAAACCGGGCCTGGCAACGAAAACAGATCTGCCTCGCACCAAGACCGGAACTCGAGTTCCAGGAGAAATGATGCTGGCCAAGCAGCAAATGTCAGAGGTTTTACAAGTCATCACCGGGGGAAGTCTTGTTAGTCATATCATCAAGAGGCCTACTTCATCTACAATACTTATTACAAGACAGTAATCTAATTGGTATTATAGACCATAACGATCCAATTTTACCCTGACCTTCAATGGCCGGTAGATGACTCTGACCTTCCTCCCGCGTGGCACGCCTCGGCCAAGAGGTGCGTGGCACGTGCCTCGCTCCGGGAGTCGCCCAAGTCTTCGAAGATCACCAGCGCCTCGTCAGCGACCGACCGGTGGCCGACGGGCGGCCCTGGAGGTCCTACAAAGAAGAACTCTGGTTGAACGTTTTGTTTTGGGGAATCATTATATATAAAGTATATATATATATGATGTGCATATGATGTAAATCATATTGAACCAATTGACCCCCTATGGTTTTTAGTGTTCAAGAGGGGCTGGTCGACGTAAGGAAGCATTTCAAGTGGTTGCACATTTCTCTGGAGCAAAACCCAAAGCAACAGGAACCTGGCTTAAGACTTAAGACATCTTAAGACCTACCACTACAAAACCGTTATACGATGGTGTGCTGACTCGCCTTGTTCGCGGCGCCAATCGCTTCTTGGAAGGACTTGACCTGGGAACAGAATGAAGTCGGCGGTCAGTGGGATACGCTGCGACGCTGGAATCATAGCGTTGCTGGTCATATATATGTATATATGATTATATAAATATATAAATAAGTTTTGCGACATCTCAACCGACCAGTTGCTGCACCATGCAACCGAAGCGTCAGAAGCGTTCATGTAGCACTTAGCACGCATTAACCACTACACATTCCCAGCTTCGCTGTTTCAAAACCAGGCTCCACCCGCTACCCCCGTGTATAAATACAATGCTGCACCCGCCGGGGCCACGAACATAGCAGTACAAGTCGACCAAAGCCATCAGCACGGCTCCTTTTCGAGCGCTCCAACAACCCAAAAAATATAACCTCCCTCAACACAGCCTCCGACCTCACATGGGGGCTGTAAACTGGCGAGGTCCAAAACTTCTACAACAACTCGACCCGTTCAATTCACAATTTTCAAGACAAATGCCGAGGTTTCATGCTCTAGGTTTCATCAAAGGACCGCGGCAACAAAAAGCTTGACACATGTCTATGTCATTCTATAACATGATTTACCTCACAAAGCCCTTGCATAATCAACACAATCCTTCTTGAACATGTCCCACATTTTTAGGTGGCCCCTATCCTCCACGACCCACAATGAGTTCAAATATACAAGAGATGGCACAACTGGAAGTAGCTGACTGATGAACCATCTCACATAGTCAAGCACCGCTGTCTTGATGTTTCCACCCGGTGACCAAGACCAGCTGCAAAATGCTTCAAGACTTAAGGTGTAGTGCAGTTTTTTGTCAATCAACATATTCAACATACATATGAGCACTGCAGTCAAGAGGATTCGGGTCCTAGGCTTCAGCCAATGGATGTTATCCGATTACCCGTGGATCAACAGCCACATCGCATTGGATGAAGAAAATAAGGCAAAAAGATTCTGCAACATGATGGCACCTGCAGTTCACCAACGTCTCGCGAGAGAGGTTTGGGACTCACCACTCCAGGGCCACTCCAGTTCACCATGTTGTGCATGGCGCGTTCCCCGAGCTAATGGCTTTCATGGCACGCCTTCCATCGCCTTGTCCCCGAGCTCACGGTAGATCTTCACGGCCTGGAAGAAGCCAGGTAATGGAAGGGATGGGTTCAGGGTGGGCTGTGCAGGGACGTGGCTGGGATGGTTCACCTGGGCTTTGGAGCTGAGAAATTGAAGAGACAAATTTAATCAACCATAATTTATACCGTACCAAAATTAAAAACAACAATTCACTACCGAAAGGATACAAAAGGAGAAAACTTGGCATCGAGGGTGCCTTGATGAATGCCGCCACGGCCGATGTGTCTCGGCCACGGCCGGAGTAGGCCGACCGGAGCGGAGGAGCAGCACACCGGTGGGAGCACCGACCGGGCGCACCTCCTTGGCTTGTCGGATTCCTTGTTCTCTATCCTTGGTGCCTGGCATCGACTGGACGAAGCGAGAAACCCATGGGTGTCGTAAAGGCCAACATGGAGTGTCTCCACACAATGCTTGGGGAGACTCCATGGAAGAACAGGATGCCCCAGGTCTGGCAGGATATCGCCGCTATTCTTCTGCAAGAGCAAGAAGCAATTTGGATCGAATGAGGACAATCAGGACTGTATGATTTCACAACGTCAATGTTACTGTCAATGTTGATCAATT